TTCGCAACACGTACGTGAACGCAAAGCGAACCAGTATGGAAAGCACGTGAACGATTTAATTCGATCAAAGGAGTTCATAAAGTATAACGAAATGAAATTTACTAGTTCGAAATCAGTTTGCTTACTGCAGGCTTAACGAAGTAAATAAAATTAGGAAATAAATCAACACGGTTGCAGAAATAATTGGCGGCGGCGCGTATTCCGACAGTAGGATTCGTTATTACCGCGTTCGGTTCTACAAAGCGTCGCGTCGTTGCATTAACGCATGAATATCTCATCGATCGGCAATTTCGAACGACATCGACGAACGCGCACGAGGAGAATGAGTCGACGCGTGCGACGAGAAGAGCTGAATTTCCGCCGGCCGATTCTAATTGCGACCGCGGTTTTCATCGACTCGCGGGCAAAAGTCTAGGGTCGAAATTTCTGTCGCCGCGTCCCGCCGTCCCGTCGGGCAAAGTTGATTAATTTAACGAGCTGCCTCGAGTTTCCGGCGTAAAACTCTCGACGATTAAACGCGCAAAGGTTCTCCGGCCGGAATAATGCACGAAACAATCGGAGGCAGCTGCAATTTCTATATTAAAAAACGACAAACGAGCACGGTCGCGAACGTTACCGGGGTAAAAGTTTTTCCGCGTTGCAATATTAACAGTTTCCAGCGATCTTTCGACTCCAAGTGCGTCCGTAGCGAAATAACTGTCGCGCGACCGTATCAATTTATTATCAGGGCGCGAGATTGTCTGGAAAAATACGTGGCAACGATTACTTCCTCGCCGTTTTCATCCGTTCCGCGACGTCCGTATCGTGACGCGACACCGCGACGTTTGATAATTCGATTTCTCGGCCCGATTATTTCGAATTAGAGGGGCAAACGGACCGTGCGATAACAAACGAAAAAGGAGCCGAATCGCGTTAGAAAATGAAAGCACGCGCAAAGGCACGTACGTCTCGATTAATATTTATTTAATTCCGGAGGTGCTCTTTTCGTCGAGATACCAATTAAAATATATTAAATGGAATATCGCCTGTGACGTGCGAGAGACGCTGTCTGTCAATTTACCCCGCTGAACGTGATTCACGCTCGGCTGAAAATTTCACCGGCTCCGTGCCACTTTGAATTTCGCCTGACAAATATTGAAGCTCGAATTACCGTGAATCGTGCTAAACGCTGTTCGTGGCCGAGAAAACTTTTCATCAACGGGAAAAAGGAAACGCCCGCCGGCTTAAATTACCGACTATTTCCTCGCTGATACTCGAAACGACGAGTCACGCGTTCGCGACGTAGTTAACCCATCGAAGGTAAAGAATGCCCCGTTTACAGCGACGGAGATATTCGTTTGTCTCGATATCGTTGCGATACCATTCGCGGAAAAAGCCCCGTTATTTTTCATTTAAGAATGTTTCGTTTCAATTTGGAACATTTCGATAGAGACGTTAGAGAACTCAAAAGCTCGGAAAGCGTTGTGAATAGAAACTACTTTGTCGTTGGTGGCGTAATATGTAGGTCCAGAGTGGTCGATGAAAGATTATTAATACGAGCTGCGTTTTTTGTTACGTCTATAAAACCGTGTACAAATGATCGTCGAAACATCCATGCTTTTCAAAACGAGAACCTTTGTTCTTTGTAGATTTATGAAAAAAAATACTGTTTCCCGTAACTTCCTTTTATACATATAATCAATTTTCGCCCTATTTCTCTTTTTGTAATGCCGGGAACCGCCTCGTTGTTTGCTTTGAGATCTCTGTAAGCAGTTTCAATTAGTAAAATGGTTCGTTGATGTATTAGGGGCCGCTGACGTCACATCGGCGACGCCTCCGCGTCGTCGACACCGGCGTCAATTGAATGCCAAATATTTGAAAAGCGTGCAATTTATTTTACCCAGCTACGAAAGAAAATAACTTAACCCCTTATGTAGATGACCGCGCCACCGCGTAACGGGACCAAGCAAACAAATCGCGAGGAACCGTCGGGTATACGCTATAAATTAATTGGTACTCGTAAGAATTATAACGGCGGGCCGTTGCGTGGCACGTGTTATTAATATTCCGGCGGATCCATTAACGATTTTCCCTCCGGTCGAAGTGCAGTGTCATCGAGAAGAACGCGCCGCTTTAAATTTCTACCCGTCCCTGGCCCCCTCCCGCGCCCCCCGCGCCCCACGCTCCGCCAGTTCAAATATTTTGATTAAAGTAATTGATTCCCGTGCCGCGCCGCGCCATCGCCCTCGAACGTTACAACGATTCGAACGAAACGCGAAAAGGGGGAGATCAAATCGAATCACCGTACGCAAACGTACCGATAACGTTCTTGATCGATCGACGATCGATATTACATCGATGTTACTTAACTTTTTGTCGGCCGACGGTACTTTTAAATGCAACTGTTCGCTCTAACGAATAACGAGGCGCAATAAATTCCCGAACGCTCGAAGCGTATCCGGTATAGAATCGGGGATTACTTTTAGGAACGTCGGTTCCGACGCGGGCATATTCTCTCGTAGGGGCAAATAATTGCAAACTGTAATCTAATGAAAGCCGCGCGACGTTTGACGAACGCGAATCATTTATTCGTGTAATCGTGTCTGGCAATAATTGAGTTCCCGCTCCGGTAAGGGACGTCGAATCGATACCGTTGCTCCGCAATCCCTCTGAAAATTTCCAAGACGTCAACGTTTCTCGGATATAGAATCCAAAATACGTGCGCGGAATTTGTGGCACGTTGTTCGTTGAACAAATAACGGAGAAAAAAGCGACAATAGCCGGGAACCGTAGTCGCAAGAACAATGTAACCGCGTTATGCCACAGCAGCGACGACGTTTCCGCGTTGCATTGTTGCGAAATTTATTTAGGAGCAAACACGCGCGTATTTAAAGTAATTGGAACGTTGAACGTAGAGCGAAAACGTACCGATATCTTCGAAGAGGCGGACTTATTATACGCGATCGGAGACGAGCGATAATTTAGCTGGAAATTTATATGGACGTTAAATAACGAAGATTTAGAGGGATTTCGTGAAACGGTGAACAAAGAATTGCCGGTGGATTCGACGGGGCGTAAAATTGATTCGAGCAGCTCGAACGAGCACGCGGCATCGACTCGTTATTCAACCTCGTTAATAAATACCGCGAACTAACTTATGATAATAACACGTCGGGAACGTGTAATCGATAACGCGCGATATCGTCGTCGATAATAGGAGAAAATTCAATTCGTTTCGGCTTCGATCCGGGGAACAATGCCCAAGGCAATTACCGATATCCCGTTCAATGGGCGAGAATACTTCCTGCACGGGGGTTAGTATAAATAAATCACTCGATCGTTGTTTCGCGTTTCTTTCGCGAAATCGTAAACCCGGCACCCGGGTGCCGTTAATTGTCCCCGTGGCGTTTTATCGCGAACGAGATCGCGCCGCGAAACTGCCAGACGCGATGTCATCGCGCGCCAACTTCCGCCGCGCGACGCCTCGCACTCCAAGATAATTTCGCCCACCGAAATAACAACAACGTCGATTTAATCCGAGACCCCCGCAGCCACAAATTAATAACAACATAAATTACTCGGTGGCTTTTTTACCCCTACGAATCGATAACAATAATCGGTTCGAACTGTGCAAAGCGAGCTCTGGTCCAACACCCCCGGCCAGCAACCGCTAATTATGCATTATCTGGCATTATCGCGAATAAATACTACGGCCGGGAAGAGGGCTGGAGGGTAGATTGTTGCCATAATAACTGGGAAACGCACGGGATATTGCCAAACACCGAAGAAATCGATCCAAGTTACTTTCCGTGCAACAAACGGATATTAATTACCCGTATACAAATATCGCGCGCGGTATATTCCACACAACGGCTCTTTAATCAAAGTCAGAAACAATGCGGATATTTATCGGGTAACGATCGTCGGGATTGGGATTTCTTAAAGGCGGCTAGAAAGAATGTTCGTTGCTCGGAACATTTCGAAAACGAATGCGTTTCATACTTGTTCAGAATTTTCTTTCTCGATGTACGTACTCGCGGTTCTGCTTTTTGATACACGGTTGAAAAAGAAGACTCGATGTTATTGACTGTCTCAGCGGGAATTACGAATCGCGCACGAGAACGGTGAACAAACGTATCTTCGCTTCCGTCTCGAGTTTGGTTGGTTCGTGCGTTAACGGGCGGCAGGTTGATCATCGATAACAAGCCCGAGGCAACCGAGTCGGTTCGCGTTTGCATATTAAATAATAGATATCCGTAACCGCGACGAGACGTCTACGCTTTCGCGCGCCCAGCTCTGCTTTCGCCGCAAAATAAAGCGATATCGTACGCGTGCAGCTACGATCGAAATAGAATATTATTATTTGTTTTGTGATATATACGTAGCTCGGTGATCTAGGGGCTTTTTGATAGGGGCGATGGATTGATCGGTTGGCCGCTGACGAGAGAAATCTCGACGAAATCGAAATAATTGCTTGGTAATTCGAAGCCTTCGGACGATCGATGAAACGCGAAATAGAAGCCGGAACAAAATCGACTCGAAGCGAATCCGTGTTTACCGTTCCAAGAGCTTTTCGCGTACCGGTCGTTAACCCGAGACCCAGCCATTTTCATATTTCGCGCGAACGTTTTTAGTTCGATTCGGATCGAAAGGACGCGTTGGATTTCGGTCGCGAAATAGCTGTCTCCGCGTTGTTCGCGAGGAAAGCGAATAAGCGAAAGGATACAGACGTCCGTCCGTCGAGACCGGAGGGAACCCGGGTATAGCAGCCCGCGTCAAAGAACAGAAGTTCGATAATAATTATCCAGCAAGTTTGCAGAAAGCAGGGTAGTTCCGTCCGTTCGGTGTGCTCGGAGAACAAAGCTATCCCTGGTCGAGCGACGGGAGAAAGGAATTCGTGAAATTTAACAAAGCGGGCTCGGTCTGGAAATTTGAATGATAAAGGGAAAAATAGAGGACCGCGGGCGCGGCGTCTTCGGCAAAGGACTTTGCCGATGCTTTTAAAGAGATCCGGCGAAAAGATGTTCGCGCGGATCAAACCGAATCCCTGGAAGAATCGGAAGATCAAGCGCCGCGAGACGCTGGTTTCCGCTATCCGGGGGTACTGCGCAAACGCCTCGTTTCATGGACTCAGATACGTGGTCGACCCACGACTGAACAAGATCGAGCGATTCCTCTGGTTCGCGGTATTCGCCACCCACATTGTCGCCGCGGTCTACGTCACTTGCTATCTCGCTACGAAACTCCAGGTGACACGCGTCTCGTCCGGCCGCGATAGACCCCTAGAATTAAATATTCGAATCGATTTCAGAGAGCGCCGACGTCCATCGGAATCGAGTCGATGAATCACAAAATATCTGGCGTCCCGTTCCCGAGCGTCACCCTCTGCCCGAACAACCGCGTCGACTGGGACAAGGTCGCGAACCTCGAGAAACAGATTTTCACCAATTCCACCGAACGCCAGACGCTGAAAACCTTTCGCGATTTACTGACAGGCCTGTCGGCCATCAGCTTCGGTGAATTCCATCGGTTTCATTTTTTGAAACACCGTCGACTCGACGGACTGATGGGTAGGTACCGGTTCTCGTTATTATTTTTAACGGTCTCGCGCGGATTTAACGATTTTTCGGCGTCTCTGTAATTTAGCAAATTAAGAAGACCGCTTAAAACATTACGAGGAGAGAAAAAGAGGACGGCGGGCTTGTCCGGAGGGTTTTATTTATGCCGGGTGGATTTGCATAGAGCGCTCTCCAGCCACGGTCTTTCTTATTAAACGATTTCCAGCCGCGACGCGGCGAGTCGCGAGATATCTCCCGCTAAAATTCGTTCCCGTAAGTAGAAGTATAATTCCCGCGATCGTTGGCTCGCCGCGTAATAGAAATTTGCACGTTCGGGAACGAAGACGAAATCGCGGATGGCGTGGATCGAGGTGGGGTGGGGAATAATAAAAATCTCGGTTGGAACGCGGGATGGCGCGATGCTGGGGCATTTCCATAACCAAATTCCGGCGCATCTTTCCGCGACGCTGGCGGGCATATCGTTCGAAAATAACTCGTTCCATTTTGCGTGTCCCGGTTCGTCCTCGTCGTCTGGCTCCGCCGCGTCAGACGTGAACGTGACGGATGCGCTGTTGCAAGCGGTGCCGAATTGCGAGCAGATTTTCACCGACTGCTGGTGGCGCAACTCGAATAGAGATTGCTGCGAGATATTCGAGCTGCACAAGACCGAGTACGGGTTTTGTTACTCGTTCAACTCGCAGCTAGCCGAGAGGACCGTTCGCCAGAAGTACCACGGATACTTGGAGAAACGGCCCCGCAGAGCCACCGGTTACGGCGCTTGGAGCGGCCTCAGGGTCACCGCTCGTTTCTGGAACGTGACCAAACCGCCGAATTTCGGTGAGTACGATCGCATCTGGAACGGGGATCTTCCAATTTTAACGATAACGCGCCAATTATCCCGTCCCGACGACGGGCCATTTTACGCGATATTCGTGAATTTATTCCATCGCGTAGCACCGGTGCGTAGGTAATCCTTGCACAAACGCACCGTGTCCATTACTTGACGATATAAAATTCATATTCCCTCGACGAATAAAATTTCGCTATAGTCGTTGGCGAGCTCGACGAGGAACCGACGCGGCGTAATATTCTCCGCGGTACCGCGGTCCCATTTAATTTTATGTCCGCGAGTCTGCAAAGTGACTCTCGGTGAGCATCTTGGTGGTTATTCTTGGTCCTTGAAAAATTGCCCGCGACGCGGGACCGCGTGGCAGCGGTGAAACAACGTTGACAAACGAACCGTATTCCCTGGACGAATGGCGGCCGCTCCGCGGAACAGACGTTGCGTAACGCAGATTTACTCGCCTGTAAATAACCTGCCCTTCCGACGCTCGATTCGTTCTCCTCGAGTCTTTTCGCGCGCCTAATTTTGCTAATTAAATTTCGAATCGTCGAAAGTGCAAAAATAATCTACCGGGTGCTAATTTGCTATTAAACGAAGCGGCTCTTTAATTCCCTAACGAAATTTTACTCTTCGACGATAACGCACGCCTCGAAAACAAGATCAGAATTTTACAGACGCGATGAAAGCTGGAATTTTGATGCGCCCGCGCGGCTCCCCGTCCACCCAAAACTATGAAACATGCAAATTACGAAAATCCAATTAAGCAAGTAAGCCAAAAAACAATTCTCGAATACAAGCTAAAATTTAATCCGGCGGATGCGTTGGCCCCCGCGCGCACTCGGCATAACGCGCGAATGGAATTGATCGAGGCATTAAGCCACGGGAACTCCAACAGCCAGCGGATAGAAAACGATGCGAAACGTTCGGACCTGGTACCGCTACGATTAAAATTAGCCATAAAATGGTCCACGTTTCGAATGATCGTGCTAACCGACCCTAAACTAAAAGAGACAAAGGCTCGAGAGCGTAGCTGCCAGAATCGTAAAAATCACGAATTTCAATCGAGTGTCCGCGTTGTCGCAGCTCCGCCGTGAAACCCGGACCGATCAACCGATAAAGCGAAAGACGACTCAACTTTTTCGCAAAAGGATCGTAAGTTCATCGAACCGGATCGCGAAAGAACGCGAGGATCCCTGGACGAAGGAAATTGTCGGGAGCGGAGGAAGAAGTTTTACGAGAGTTTGATGGAAACGATGGCTCTACTTGGCCGCCTCAATGGGCATTCGAGTCATCAAAGTGGTAACTTCGGTATCACGTGACTCGCCGCAGCAAATTCCAAGTAATTTAACTGCCTCGCCGTCGGGAAATTCGAGCGAACCGTTCCGAAACTCCTACCAGCGCAGCGTCGTACAATCGACGCGACGACACGCGAATCCTTTCTAGAGGATTTCAATAACAGGTACGCGGCCAACGCGCACCTATCGATATACCGTTCGATTCTTTCCTCTTGCGGATCGATGATAAATAACACGAGATCGCAAACGATAAGGATTCGAATTAGAAGATTGTAGCTTGTTTGGAAAGATAAAAAAAACTGGCAGCGAACAGAAACGTTCGCATGCAAGATGTACCTCGAAAATAACTAGGATCCAACCCGATCGTATCATAAATTCGTCGCTCGAAGAAAAACGACTCCGCGAATGTGGTATTCGGCAAATCCCGAATAACGAATGTCTATCGTTCGACGAATGGTCCAACAACATGGACGGACAATCGATGGCGAGCGATCGGTATTGCCCGAACTTGAATTATATCCCGTTTGTTGCGAATAAAAAAAACAAAAACGAACCGTCCGCTACGGTGTCCATGTTTTCATAAAATAATACGACTGGTTATATTTTTTTATAGATAGAAGTGTGTAATAATTTGGTAAAAATGTTGCAGGCGGAGCCGACGGAATTCTATTCATGCTCGAGGATCCACGAGTTTGGCCCCACAATGGACGCGCGATTCCGATAAACTCGTTATCCACCGTGTCCTTTGAGTGTATCTCTGGATTTGCAACGCAATCTATTCTCGATCTGGATGAAAGCAGAGCACCTTGCCGACACGTTCCCGACAATTCGTACGCTCAAGACTCCTGCGTATCGTTGTGCAAAAGGGATTACGTCGTAAAACACTGCGGCTGCAATCCTTCGTTCCTGTTCCCTTCAGGTATAATATCCGCCGGTATACCGCCGGCGCGAGAAATTTCATTTCTTGTTTACAGCTTCGCAGCGTGATTGCGGCATTAAGGATTTCCTCTGCCTGATCGATCACAACGGTAAGAATGACCAAACTGTACGCGAGAGCTGTTCGTTCTCTCGCGAAGCTTCGTATCGCGTTAGTTTCGAGGTTTCTAAATGTTGCTTTTCACTTCCATCCTTTCTCGATGCGCGCAAGATGTGTACAAGGACAACGTGTTCACGGACGAGAACGAACCGATCCGCAAGAACGATATTATCTGCGATTGTCCGCCTGCCTGCGATTATTACATCTACACGCCTCATTTGGCCGTGGTGCAGACGCATCGATCACAGGACATCACTCTGGACGTCCACTTTTCCAGCCAGACCAACTTCCGGTACAAGATGGATCTAATTTACACGAATCTGCATTTCCTTGGTAATCATTGTCAACCGTATCGTTTCTCTCGTTTGATTTTCGACCACCGTTCCGTTAAAAACAGGCTGGACGATCGATCGTTGGAACAACGAATCGCAAATCGAATTACCAGAGATTTCCATTTCGTTGCCGCGAACAACGGACACTCTCGCCGAAAGTTAGCTTTTGCGTTAACGGGAAGCGGGTTAAGGAACCATCGATGTAGAACAAACCGATACGAATTAATTCGTGCGAACGACAGAGCGTCGCGGAAGGAAAACCGATTCGAACATCGAATTCAGAATTCAAGGGACGGGTCTTAATTGACATCGCGACGGTTTCGTTTTGGTTCCATTTAGATCGGATAATCGAAAGCCCCGGCGTATTCTCTCCGGGCTCGTATACGAGCCCGCGCATATTTTTATCGGATTAACATATTAACGAGGAGAGCCAGCGCCGCTGAATCTGAATCTCTTTCGCAGTGTCTTTCGGTGGCATAATCGGCTTATTTCTCGGGGGCTCGTTACTCAGCGCGGTAGAGCTGATTTATTACCTGATGGTCGTCGTGTTTTCCTACGTTCGCTGTTGCCGGTCCAACGGCAAGGAACCAGCTCGGACCGGAAGACCAGCGACGCTCGACGACGCTCGTCCACCCATGCCGCCCGAGGCGCTCGCTCCGAAATACACCCTCGTAAAACCGAAATCGAGGAGGATTCCGATCTTGGCGTATTACGCCCCCGTCAAATCAAATTTAAACAGATATTGAGCCTAGTTTGGTCGACGAAACGAGCACGGAAAAAGGAAACGAGGGAACGTCGCTGGAACTTTTACCGAAAACAGAAGTTTTCCAAATAGACGATAATCGCGCCACGAAATTCGAGTCGCGCGTCGCGACGACCACGGTTAACGATAACGATCGTTGTTTCTCGATGCTTGTTGGAATTATGTAAACGCGCGCATGCACGATGTAACGATGGAAATACCGATATATGAATGCAAAAATAATAATAATAATACGTTGGATTTGCTGATTCGATTCCCTTTGTATTTCCCAGCTTTGTCCATTTAATTTCCAGTGCGATAAAGATCAGTTTGTATTACGCAAGACATTAAACTGTTAATAAAACTCCACTTCGGTTAATTTATTTGTACCTGCAGCTACCGCGACACCGTACTTCTTTCCATCGATAATGTATTTATTGACTAGGACGGAAGGCGAAAGCTTTCTGCGCGAATGGTGGATATTTATCCTGAACGCGAACGTTCATCGAGAGAAAAGGGATACAAAAGGAGGAGGAGTCGGAGGTCTCCGAAGAGGGTCCGAGTCCGTTCCGTTGTCACTACTCGCGCGGCGAGATTCTCGTTTCGCGTAGGGTGGGAGGCGCTTTACATCCGGCCGACTGAGATGGAACTAAATGTACTACCCGTCTGCCAGATCCCCATTTAGCCATTTATTATTTATGAGGCGCGGCGACAGAGACGAGAGAAACCAACCGGGCAAGGGGTGATGCGAGAACTTGCACTGTCCGACGACGACCGAGCCGCGAGAAAAAGGAACAAAATCCCGCTCGCAAAGACGCTTATCTCTTTTCAGGAAGGTTGTCGCACGCGCGACATTTATCCACAGTGAAAGGGAAATACTCCGCGAAGGCATCTTTTTCAGCTGGATTTAAAACCGTCGGCCGAGACTTAACTCGAAGACTACCTTCGAAGCGTTCTTTCTAGCACGTGCTTCTATTACTTCGACAGAAATATCGCTTTAACGCATTCGTTCAACGTTTCGTTTTCTTTCGGACGGCGTCAGAGATACTCGAGTCGAAACAACGTCTCTAAAATTTCAGAACCTATATCGTTTTTCCATCCGCCGCTCGCTACGTCGATTTTCGTTTAAACGCAAAGTTTCAAACGACGCGACCTTCTTCCATCCGTTTCTTGCGTTCGGTTGCCATTTTACCAGAGTCCGCGGAAGTTGCTTTCTTAATTGCACAAGTTTACGGATCAACGTGTTCGACGTTCTTGTTTACGGGGGCGTTTCCGAAAACATCTCAACAGAGGATTCACCGACGAGTCGCGACAGGGAGCGTCTTCTTTTAAAAAGCTGTCGTCGTCAGATACGAAGGGTAAAGATACCGTCACAGGGATCGTTATCGAAAGTAATTCGACGGATATTCCCGTCGCAGCGTGAAGAAGAAAGCATCCCCCTTCATCCCCGAACTACTCAAGAGGTACGCGAAGGGTTTAGATAACAGCACGGCCGAGAGTTACTCGAAAACTTTCTCGCTTCCTTCTTGGAAGCCGGCAGTGGCTCTTTCTCCTTCCTTTTTCCATCCTCATCTCGACAATCCCTTGCCGCCCTCGTCCTCCCCGGCCCCGCTACCTCATTCTCCGTCGCTTCGCTCCTCGCCATCCTCACCTTTCACCCTCGTCGGTCGCCTTTCCAAGCGCAGCCACGAACTTCCCAGCGACAGTTTGACAAAATGCAGATTTCCTTCGTTTCCCTGACAACTATCGGTTTTTCTGCTTACTTCTCCTCCGCTAGCGCCTCTTCCTTCCGCCTCGGCCTCGGTCGCGCGCGTTCGTGCGCAACGTGCATGCTTAAGCTTCTTCTTGCATCCGACTCTGCGTCCCCCTTCCAAGACAACAGACTCCCTCGTCCGCGTGCTTTCGATAATTAACGCTCGGAAAATAACTTTTATTCGACGACAAATTGTGCCGGAGTGAGTCAGCGCACCATCGCGACCGACACTTTTATACAGCCCGAATTCAACTTGTACACTTTCCCGAAACCCCCGTTCGCGTTATCATCGACTATTACTTTCCGTTCGAATGGCTTGTTTCCTTCGGCGTTCGTTTAGCCTGCCAATATTCTCGGTCGAAACGTTAAATTGCATCGGGGCCAGCGACAAATTTGCTCCTCTCGAAAACAATGGAGCAAAACGTCGATAATGTACAGGGAAAATTTGTCGATTTAATAATTTAATACGTCCAACGTCCAAACGGTCGTTTCTCGTTGCACCGATCCAATCGATGATCGTACTTTTTTCTCCTGTTTCTCTTTTCTAGAAAACGATCGACGTAACGAAAGTGTGTATGTATAATGTAAGCACGCGAACGCATCCTACGAAAGCCGACGAATGCTCGACGAATTCATTTCGCTCACGCCATTACGGACGCTTTTCAGACTCGAACGAATACATTTTCCGTATCCCGTGAACGTCACTGGCCACTCGACGGGATCATTTACCGTGAAGCCATGACCACTCGCGAGCACTGCTTGAATACGCCCGACCGTAAAAAGTATTTCATTCCCAGCGCGCGCATTACCGCTGAATTATGCGACGGTCGCTAAGCGGCGCGTTAGGCTGCCCGAATTTACAATCGAGTTTGTAACGTTGGTTACTTATAACGTAGTAGGAACAAAGAGAAAAAGGATTCGACGAAACCGAGTTTGTTAAACCGCGGTGCGGACTAGGTAGCAGAGACGGTAGAATTTTATTCGTTCGTACCTTTCAATATTCCTGTAACAAGAATTACGTAGCAATAAGTTTGTGGAGCCCGGTTATCTAAATCCTCTTCTCGTGGAGCAATTTGTGGGAGAAGGTAAAAGTCTGTTCCTGCTCGGTCGTCGAACGATGGGAACATACCTCGTATTACTTCCGATAAGAGTCCCTGCGACGATATCTTCGCCTCTCACCCGCCGACAACACGATTATCCGGGGGCCGTTTTCGAGAAAGTTATTCTTCGGTATCGGTCCAATATTACGCGGATGGATATTTTTCTTCCGTGTCGCGACGCCAACCTTCACCCGGCGCGTCCACAAATAATCCCCCCTCCACTGCTATCGAGTCGTTCTTGTTCCGACATCACGGTTTACGGATTCGACAACGAACATCGTTACGAACAAATCTTTATTCCTCGAGTATCCGCGCGCCACGCTTTGAGCAATAATATTGTTACAGGAGGAAACGGTGTTATCGGTGCGCGATGTCGACCTTGCGCGGAATCTTGTTACAAGAAAATTACTTCGCCCCGTGAGTTTTGCAAACCGTTAACTGCTCGTCGCGACGGACGTCGAGAAAAATTACTACCAAAGAATCCCGGCAACGACTCCCCTTTCGTTCTCTCGATAAATTGAATCTTCTCTTTGGCTGCCGGCGTGTTTATTCTTGGTCTGTTTATTTTATAGAAAAGAGGGATCGTCGGAGCGGGATTGGGGCAGTAGGGCGTGCCGGGAACCGTGATGGAGAAGAAGTATCGTTTGCTCGGTTACTTTGTTGGTAACGCTGAAATGGGGCAAGGTGGTACTGGTATTGGATCCCATCCAAGCGACTTTAAACTTCTTCTCCTTGGAAAAATTGGAAACATCTTCGGTCGGTGTAGAGCATGCGGATTTCTGTCGAAAAGACAGTCCTTGAAGTTCGATCTTGTCTCAAAATTGGAACCAGCCCCACTGACGTACGAGAGTATAACAGTCCTATTCCCTGGACGACTCTTCTCTAACAATCGAGAACGTATTTTCCATCGCGCGTTACACGGATTTATTCGCAAAACAGATTTAAAGTTTCCCGAACGCGAGACGGACGGTGAATCGTATTGGAACGCTGTAAAATTAAACCGAAAACGTAACCTTTCGACATTAATTTGAAGCAAAGATTGCGTATTGCGATTCCTCGTTTAATTGCCCGTCTGATCGATGGATGGATTCCGTACATCGTAGGAAAGTTCAGGAAGAAACTTCGCCTCTGTTCGAATATTTCGTTCCTTCGATCTTTACGATTGGAACAAGATCCATTTCACCCACCCTTCGAATTTTTTGTCGTTCAAGTTTCAAATTCGGACGGAGCGAACGCCAAATGAAACGAATCTTTCTTATGTGTTTGCACTACGGTGTTGTCTTTCCGCGGATCCGAAAGTTTTGACCGAGAGCCAGGAAACGCCTTACTATGGATGTCACCGCATTCGGCGGTCCTTCGTTTCGACGTCGATAAACTTTGAGCTCGATTCAAAAATTGCTGAGCCTCGGCTCCTCTCGGATCGTACACGACCTCACCGGCATCCAGAGTTTCTTCAACGGGACTGTCAGAAACGAAACGCTTCGATTCGAGCCGACAGCTTTCCGCTTTTCCGGCTTCCTCGAGTCCTGTGTTTTGCGACTCCGTGACATGCTTTTCGATTTTTCCGAGCAATCTTCCCCTTTGAGATTTTCCAGCATATTTAGGAAAACAGAGGTATCGCGAGTGTTCGCGTTAAAGAAAAAAAACGGCTCCGCGGAGCACTGTAACCCCCCGGAAACTTTCCCGTAACGTATGTAATTTTCACGTCCGCCGCAATGTTTTTTCAGTAACGTTGCTCCGAAATTGCGTTCGAGCTGTTTTTTTCGATTTTTCGAGACCAAGCTGTTAAATATTCGCGACGATCGCAACGAATTTTTCAAAAATGCTCGATCGAAAAATCGATCTCGAGCGAGGCGTTTGCCGTGTCGTGTTTCCGCCGCTTCCATCGCGAACTCCAATTTTTTGGCGGTTAAAAATACAAATAAACGATACGAAAATATGAAAATATAAACTGCACGGTCCGTGAGTCGGTCTACCGAAAAACCTTTATGGCAAAGTCAACTGGACCTCGAACAAAGCACACTCTGCCACCCTATAACGTTAATATCCGAGAAATGTTATTCCGTCCCCGATGTTCGAAAATGGTTACCCTTTACCAGCGAATAATTCGTAAAAGTTGGATAACCAGGTGTTTGCATTCGTTTCAAAGAG